TGGAACAAAGAGGTTTATTCTTGTAATCTCCCTCTGGTGAGCAAAAAAAGATAAACCACAGGACTTAGAAACTCAAAGAAAAGCTGAGAAATGTAACTAAAAAGAAAAACAAAGTGCTGCAAGGCACTGCAGGAAGGCAAAGCTGGTGGGGTGCCCCATGCACAGCATCCTCTCTGGGTCTAATGGATGAAGGTAATGTGAGAGGAAAGTAGCAAAAAGATGATAAGGATGTTTGTCTCCAGTGCTCTTTGGTCTTTATTTTAGCATTTAGCAGGTACTTTCTCTGGTGCTCAAATCCGTATCTAGATTTTAAAAACATATCTATTTCTTTTGTTATTATTAAAAAATAAAGGGTTTGCTCAGTCTATTTCAAAGAAATTGTTACTGCATCTGAATCTCTGTGTAGATTTTAGCCCTACTGCTGTGAGATCCAAAATACCTGGTCTTCTAACTGCAGTGTTTTACTAATAGACTGCAACACCTTTGTAATGCAAGCCCAGAGTAGAGCAGTGACAGTTCACACAGTGAACGTTTCTTCAGTTCCACAGAGAGTTGTAGCACTGCTGATGTCAGCTGCTGAGAACACTTCCAGCTAATGTTCAGTCATGCTAATTAGGACTGGCATACACATCAACTTGTCTAGGACTTGTAGAAACTCATACCAAAACCAAACACACGGGAGGCCACTCTCTTCCACTGGTAATAGCTTCTCTAAGAAGTCTTTCATAAATGATTCTTTAAAAGCCGCCTTCTCTATGCGCCTATTGACATTTGTGTATTGATCAACACAGAATATTTATATGCAGCTTCCACCTGATACTAGTCTCAGAAGAAAAGAGTCAATGAGTCATGCATATGGTTTCTTTACTTGCTGTCTCTAAGTCATAAACCAAGTGTTTTTCCAGCTTTAACTAGAAAAGAGTAAAGTGATAGGATTTGTTTCATTTCTGAGAACATGGGACACTATTTCTTAGTATAGATTTAAATTATTAACACTTGAGTTGTTTGTAAAGGTGATGTACACCAGGAGTATTAAGGTATTACTAATGATTTTCTGGTTTAGAATTTGCCTGAAAGACAGACAAGCAAATTCAAGGTGATGGCTGCGTGTAATTTAAGCTGTAATGCACTCCTCTATAAAGAGTTTATGCCTACTCTGCAATGATGACTGCTGAAACAGATAATACTGACACATCTAGAAAACGAAAGCAGTAGAAAAGATGATATCACCACATTATTCATTATTTTTATGCCTTTTTCCAAAGGAACCAAACTAGGAAATAGAATTTGGAGATAAACATGGTTTCAAAATCATTTTAGCCATGATAATACCATACTTATTTAGGACACTTCATTCAAAAAAGTTTTGCAACCAGAGATTTTAATTACCTGCATACACCAGACAAAGGAATCAGAGAAGCTCAGCCATTTATGAGGAAGAGCTCAAGCGATTCTACAGATAAAGGAAAATCAGCTTCTCCAGCTGATACAGAGGACTAGCTGCTTACATCACGGTCAGCTTAGCTCTTTAGGTCTTGGCAGGGGTGAAGCAAGATGCAGTTTGTCAGTTCTCAAGCTACTGCTGTTTCAGGAGCTCCCACAGTCTTCCCCAGATCTCACACACAGCCTTGTGTGACTTCATGCACCAAGCTGGGCTGGACCCTACCTGTCCCTGTCCTTGGCTGTCCATCTAGGGCTCCCCCATTCCCCCTCAATGGCAACCAGCACTCTCACAGCTGCCACCACTGCCTGACACCCCAGCTACTCCCAGCACAGCTGGAACAGCTGGAACCCCACATCACCTGGGCCTCATTCCTGCAGATTTACAACTGTTACAGCAGACATGCCTTCCTGCAGTTTTCCAGATTATTGGCCCTGACTGTCACTTGTGCAAGAAATGCAGCTGCTTTGGCAAAGAGAGGGCAGCACTGGAGTGCCTGCCTGAACCTCCCCACCGCTCCTGGATTTTCTCAGGAGTCAGCGTGACAATACAGCTTGGTGGCCTTCCATACCTTTTTTCTTCTGTCTGGAGACTGAAAACACTTCAGTTTTCAAGTGCTTCACTGGAAACCTGTGAAGAATACAGTTGTATTGTACAGAGTACAATACAGAATCCCCTGTAGTGTACCTATCTCACAGGGAGACACTTTCTAGGCTCTGTAGAAAGTGAATCACAAGGCATGAGCAAGGCCTGGGACACGTGTCCTTTTCTGCTTCCAGTTTCAGAGCTCCTGCCCTCACCAGCTGCAGCCACTGCTGCTGCCTCTCAGAAAGAGGCTACTGCACAAAGCAGATAACTTGCTCTGGCTAGCACTGCCAGCAGTGAGCCCTGCCTTGTGCTTTGTACCCCAAGAACACACAGCAACAGCCTTTATCACAGTAAGCACCTGTAGGAGTGGGAAAGTGCTGGGATTATCCTGCTGATTCTGAGGACTGCATTCAATTATTTTACTTACAAATATTTTTTTCATAAAGTTCTATGTCATTGACTCTCTATTTTCAAAGTGGAATGTTTGTTCCAAGACTATGTCCACATAGTAAGTCTATCAATCATAGGCTCAGGCTTAAACAGTATATTATTGTTCGATAATTAGCTAGGTTTTTCTGAAGTTAATGACAGAATTTGTTCGAGGAATTTCTGAATCAACTTTGGTTTGATGTATTTTCAGCACAATTGCCAAGTGTGATTTAACTGTACCACGTGGCTGCCTGAGGTGCTTTAGACTGACACAGGTTGACAAGGAACATTAGTTGGCCCATTGCTCTTAATTATATAAAACTTCTCATTACCTCATCAAGTTTTTCTGCTTTACAGTCAGAAAGAGTATGTAAGCACTGGGGTCTTCTCTCCTCCAGAGCCCTTACATTAGCACAGGTAGTGCAATGTCCTGATTATCGCTGAACTGTTAGTAAAACTTCAGTTTTCCATACCTATATTGTACTAGTTCAGTCATAGTCTTTTGTTTCTTCCTTTTATATCAAATCATCCTGCTAGGAGATTCATGTCAATTCGTCTTGGTCCATCAGTCTCTTTAAAAATTTGGTTCAAGACTTTACGGTAGTGTCAGAGTCTTTTTATATCTCTATTTGAGTGCATTTAATGTAGACTAACACCTGGGATCATGCACTGATCTTAACATCAGGTGCTACTAAACAGGGTAGCATAGCTAGTGCTGACTAACAAATGAAGAGAACTTATTTTCAGTAAGGTTACAAGAGGCAGGTATGTTTTTTATAAGGGAGCAGTCCATGCATGTATTTAGGGAAATGTGGTATATAGCATACTTGTTTCTTTACATGAGGTTTTTGTTATTACTCATTTTTAATCTCTGAGATCTTCTTGTCTATAATGCTGCTTTTACTGTAAGTGCAAAAGCTGAGACAGAAAGATCTAATACAAGAAAATGAGAGTGCTGTGTTTCAGAGGAGCTATAAATCCTCTAAGTATTTCAAACTAGACTAAAAACTAGAAGCTGTCTCACATCTAATGTGTATAGTTATTATATTAAAACAGAATTCAGTTCAATAAGAATTAACTCAAATTTTGGTTGCAGCTGACTCCTTAATTTCATTCAAGAAGTATTTTAAATATACTGACTTTTTCATGACTACAAGACAAAAAAGTATACAGGAACTTTTTTTTTTAAGGCTTCAAACAAAACAAGAAAACTATATAAAAAACTTAACTACCCATCCTTAAAGTCAGGAGAACAATGTTCTGCTCTTGAATATCTGTTTTTTTTATTCAGGCAGCTATTGAAAATACTTACAAAATATATGCAGTTGACAAGAACAGTGGAACAAGTTCCACTTGAGTAAATATGTATTGAATTTAAAGCACTTTACACGTAAAAACAAGTCACAGAGAATGACTATCTTCCAAAACACATTTTCTTTAACTTAGAACAAAGTAAGCATTTGAACAGTCCAGGAGGAACATAGCATATTGTGAGGAAAGCTAATTCACCTTTCATTGTGAGGTATTGTACTGGTACTGTGCAGAAGTGTTCTTTTCCAGGATGATGCAAGGCACCATCCACAAATGCAGGTGCAGAGCTGTGCGCAGAGCTGTGCCTTTCTCACAGCCCCTTGGTTTTGCAGAGAGATCCGTGCCCTATTGCTTCTCGTTAGCTTTTGCAAACAAAAGAAATGAACTAACTACTGCACACCACAGAAACAGCCTAGAGAGCATATTTTAGATCCTTAGGGTGCTGGGGTTGCTGCATTTTCTCTGGCAGCAGGGCTATTTCAACAAGTTTCTCAGCTTCATGCTGCAGTTCGTCATCCCATCAGATCTGCAGGTGACAGAAACCTACCTTCAATGGCATAAAAGGCATTAAAACAACTGTCAAATAATAAAAAAAAAAAGAAAAGAAACAGTTCTTCATATGTTGTTTTTGTTCAGTTGATTTTTAGACCAGGATGTTTTGACTGTTAAGGTCATTATGCCTGTGATCTTTCTGCATTTCATTAGTATGCAAACAGCATGAATTCCTGAGTATTCAAAGGGTGAAGTGACTGTTAGCTCATTTGGTCTGCAAGAGGGAAAGTGAAAGGACATTTTGGTCCTACAGGCACAGACTTCAAGCCAGGCTAATTCTTTAATGACATTTATAGAGATGATGCACATAAAAACCCCTTAGCTTTAATTAAGCTGCATGTTATGCTTTCTTAAATATTGTATTAAATAAATAATATTTGAGGTAATAAAATAATCATTCTGGAATATAATAATGTCTCAGGCACTGAGGGAATAGAGTATGAAACTCATTAAAATGTAATCATTGAGATATTACCTTGTTACTTGCATTTCAATATCATGTACATGCTTTATCTTGTAGGTTAAAGAGTTCTCAGTGGTAGTTATTGGGACTTGTTTTAAATTAGTCCCAGAAGGGTTTTCCTTGTAATCCCTTTATAAAAAAAAAGTGGATATTAAATATTTCAATTCCAATAGTTCTGAAGTTTAATATAAATTTAAGGAAGTAAAAAAGTACCAATTTCATTTCAGGAAAGTTTCATGTCCACAAAATTTATTACATATTTCTTCTCTTTCTTTCAAGAAGATTGAATGAATAAAACAGTAATTTTGCTGTGGGTTATATATGCTGTGTGTTTATACAGTGGAACAAATTGCCAATGCTTGTACTAGGCAGTTTACCTAAGGAAGTACATAAAGACAATAACAAAGCTTTTGTTTAAAGTTCATCTTTTATATATGCTTCGGGTACTTAAATATTGTAATATCCAAGCTAGAATAGTCATGAGGTATGTCTGAGTAAAGGATGCAGCCTCCTAACCTAGGAAAGGGGAATTAGCATAAAAAGAGAGGTTAACAGGTCACAAATTCTCTAGACACTTGGACAAAATTCTACAGATGTAGGTCCATTTAGAACAGGTCAGTCCATTACATTTTAAAAGTACTTAGGTTTCTGTGTCATTGTGGTCTCATTTTTCTCTATGTTTCGGCAAAGTTAAAAATAAATTCAATCATACTGCAAACTAATGTGTTACCTAGCATGTTTACCTGTATATTCAAGGTCAAGGCTTCCCACTGAGTTTCCTAAGTATTAATAACAGAGCTGTGAACTTTCAGCTGTCTTTTTCATTCAACTTTACAGCTTCTGATGCTTAGATTTAATGAACTATTGACCATTGTTCCATATTATACAGCTTTTTATTGTGAGATTTACTGACCTTTACTTGATATTCCCCATCTGAAGAAACTTTAGAGCTTTATGTCAGTTTTTGATGGCAGTTTTTTTCTATCAAACTGGTAAATATAAAAACTTTCTCATAAAATAAAAAGCACAGGCATTGGACTTACAGAAATCAAGGAAATTCAGGAAGTTTTTAGTGAATGGGTTAGCAAGTAATGCAGTCAAAACAAGGCTGTAAATCCAAAATTACTGAATTGAAACCTAATGGTGCATTTTAGCTAATAAAATCATGCTTACATTTTACATTATGACTTCAAGTACATATGCCCACAGTACAACTTTCAGTGTTATGCAGAAATATTGAAAACAGATGTAAACATCTCTCTGCTAGCCTGTAGTCCGCAGTACAGACACTGAACAAAGCCTGATTTTTCACTGTGGTATTACTTCATTTCAGGCTCACACCTCTGTTACACTACATAGCTATCCTGCTTTCTTTTCTGCAGTCTGAAGTCCAAAAACAAGAGATAAAAATGTCCAGAGAGCAGCAGAAAAGGTTCTTCCAATCTTTCAATAGCTTCTCCAAGGACAGTTAGCTGAAATACATAAATAATTAAACTGTGGTAGCAGAGATAAACTCATTCCTGTTTTGACTGCTGAGGCTACAGCAACAGCTTACCAGAAAAGAAAATTCCAGGATCTCCTTTTTCCTCCAGATCAGGTCAGCACAATCCTAAAGGTTCCTTCTTACAACTTGGGATTGTTGTGGTTAAAGGGCAGGACACCGCTCTTCTTCTTGTTGGGAGAATTGACACACAATTGACCTCAGCCCTTTGATCCAGCCTGTCCAGATCCCTCTGCAGAGCTGAGCTGAGCTGAGAGCAGTTTGCTGTCATCTGCAATCTGACTGAGGGGGCTCTGGATCCCCTTGTCCAGAT